TTTAATAAATATAGAAAAAAATATAAAATAACAGCTACATAATTTTCTTGTAAAAAATTTTCAGTTCACTTTTTTATTCTGTATCAGAATCAATACTTGTAAAATTTTCTTTTATATTTTAGTTTATTATTTTTCTAGTTTTTCCAACTGTATTATAATTTTGCCGTATAAAGATTTGTTCAAAAAATAGAGATTATCTAATATAAATTTAAAATTTGAAAGTTTTAATTAATTAAAATATAGGCAGGTACAAAACCCTATTCTAATTCCAGGTACTTGAAAATATTTATGAATCACTAAGTTTTGACTACGAAAAGTGGAATTTAACCAGAGTTATTAGTGGGTATTAGTGAGTATTAGTTGGTATTAGTTGGTATTATTGGGCATTAGTGGGTATTAGTGGGTATTGGTATGGGCATTAGGGGCATTAGTGGGTATAAGTAGGGGTAATAGGGGTATTAGTTCAGCAAAATCGGGTATTAAGAGGTATTAGTGTACAAATTTTGGAGCGCGGTTTACCCCTCGGTGGTGACCGATAAGAAAACATTTTTTTTTCTTTTATTGAATAAATGAGAAGTTAATATTGTTTAAAAATTACCGTTAGTTGGGGATATATGGAACAGCCGGGGTTATATGGAACAAAGGTACAAAAATTCAAATTTATCGCTTTGTCACGAAATCTGTCAAAAATGTCTGGGAAATTTTCTTTTCTTGGGTAAGTACAGGGTTTAGTTTTAACATTCCGCCGAGTTGTAAATAATTTCTGGAACTGTGGCTTTTGGGGAAAAAAATTAAAAAATAAGATAATTTTTTGCTGTTTTAGGAAACTAAAAAAGTGTCCTTCGTACCTTTTTATCCGATAGAGATAGAATATATGCGCAATGAAGTTATTTATAATACATAACCTAAACAATTACCCCACATACTTTTATTATTTTTAAGTTTATTTTTTTTAAAGGGCTTTTTATGAAAAGTTGGGTTTTCTAGGGATATATGGAACGATGCCACGACTTATAGAAGATACTATGACCAAGAAAATATTGAAATGGCCCTGGCTGATACTATTGTCTTATAATTGAATCGGTTGTTTTGAAAAGGGGTCAACTCCTATTGAAAATTTATGAAGTTGACCCTTTTTCAAAATAACCGATTGAATTATTTTTTTGTTTTGTTTTTTTTTTATTTAAAATCCACAGGACTATTTTTTTGCGTTTTGTATTTTGTTTCTACTTATTTTTGAATGCTTAATGCGTCAAGAGTTTTGTTCCTATTTTTTCTACATTTATACCAGCTGTGAAATAATGTTTATTTTTTTTAATGTTATAAGCTTTATTACTGTTGCAGTTACATGTTTTTTAACACGCTTATATTAGCTTCACCTGTATGTATGTTTGTAACTCTCCTTTGGACTCAAGTGGCTTATTACTGTCAGTACATCCCACTGAGTCAAGTTCCTTTGTTGGCCGAGCGTTCTAAGGCGCGTGTTTTCGATTTCCAGACTCACCGATTGTGGGTTCTAATCCCCACGGCTGAAAAAAAATTTTTTTTCAGCTATTTCAACTTACAATTTTTTTTTTTTAATAATTAATCGAACTAAAAAGTAAAAAATAAAGATAGTTTAAAAAAACTAAAAAACACGCTTTTATAATACATCGAACTAAAAAGTGAAAAATAAAATATAGTTTAAAAAAACTAAAAACACGGTTTTAGAGCATATCAAACTAAAAAGTTAAAAATAATTTTTTTAACACGCTTTTATTCAAATAAGCTTAAAACAATAATAAATGGAAAATACTAGTATTATTGTGAAAAAAGCGTGGGGCGATTTGTCCATATTTCTCGTACATCGAGCGCCCGACGCTTTTTTCACGATAATACTAGTATTTTCCATTTATTATTGTTTTAAGCTTATTTGAATAAAAGCTTGTTAAAAAAAATATTTTTAATTTTTTAGTTTAATATGCTCTAAAAGCATGTTTTTAGTTTTTTTAAACTATATTTTATTATATTGTCTAGTTTTTTAAGTTCTTACTACTGTAATAAGCCAATAAAGAGGTTTTTTTTGGTTTTTCACATTTATGTCTCTTTAAAAAAAAATGTTTCGTTTAAATTTGTTTCATATAGACATATGATCAATCCTATATGGAATAAACATGAGTTTTATTTCGTTCTGCATGCAAAATATCCCCAAACTTTGGTTTATACGGAACAGCGTAAAATTAATAAAAAAAAACATTACTTTATTATTAGGATCGTCAAATATTGCTTAAATAGAACCTAACACCATAAAGCAACACCTAAAAAAAACTAAAAAAATTCACAAAAAAAAGTTATAAGGAAAAATAAGTAAAAATCGTTCTATATATCCCCAACTTACGGTACTGATAGGAACATTTTTACTAATATAATAAATAATAATTAAAAAACATGTACTTACCCCAGACTGTCAGTTTGTTTTACTTGTTTAAATTTTATTTTGTTGTCTATTTTATATACTTAAATGTACATAGTATATTAATTAGATATGTTTAAGAGATTTTTTGTAACAATAGATTTATGTAGATTAGGAATGTACTAAAATAAGCCACAAATACATCACGAACAAGCTCTAGATTTAGAGGTTTTATAATTAATTAGTCATGTTCATTTTACTGTTGTTTAAATTTACCTGTGTATTGCTGTTTTTCTTATGAAATAAACGTTAGTATTATTAATATTAGGATTTTATAAAGTTAAATGGTTCTTCCGTTGTTTCATTACCTATATCGAATGTCACCATCAATTATAGACTACGATTAAAAAAATATAATTCGGGAAAATAAATAAAGTGCAAATAAAACCTTAAGGTGTTTAAACATTCCCACAGAAACTGGCAATATACATCAAGCACAGAAAATATTCCCAGACGGAAAATCAGTCTAATGTAAAACCATCCACTTTATAGACTGGGATATACGGAAACACGAATAAAATTTATTTTTATCAAGACAGTAAATCATTTGAAAGGAAGTTTATGCCAAATGTATTAGTAAAATGAATCAAGTCTTGTGGGGCAGTAAAAAACCGTTCGGTTAAATGGAAATTTGCCGAGTTGGTGTATTATTGGAGAGTGACCCATAAAAGTTCCCTTCTACTATTCTGCACAAATATGTCCAGTTTAATAGTCAAAAGAAAATTCTTTATCGGGGAAAATCATGATTTTTGTAGATGTCAAAAGACTTTTAGTTTTATAGTAGATTGCTAATTTGGGCGGGACTTTGAGATTTGTTCATTCAAGTGAATATGACGTGATTGGTAGATCAAATTTTCTACTCGGGGTGACCGCTTTTACCTAAAGAGCCCCAAATAAGGTAAAAAAGGATAGTAGAATATTAGCTTTTAAATGTTAATCCTAAAGGTTTGTTGTATGAACAGAGTCGATCGCGAAAATGTACATTATAATTAAAGGTACGGTCGAGCATATAGCCCTGAAAGGGATTGCGGAGTTTTGTTCAAAAATTTTTGTTCGAATCTTTTTGTTCAAAATATTTTTGTTTGAAAACATTTAGCTCGAAAGTTATTTACTTCGAACACATTTTGTTCGAATATCTAATTTGAAAAAATATCCGTTTTAGACAAATGTAGTCAATTTCGAACATAGCTTTGTAAAGGCGAAGTGCTCGCTTATACTTTGGAAAACTTTTAAATAATCCAAATTATCTTATAAAGTTCAGTAATAATCAAATTGCGATTCAATTTCGGTGTTTATGTTTGCTCCTAAACAAGTACGAAGTTTAGTGGTTTCTACTCACAATTTAGATTTAAATTTAACATCATTTTGTAGCTAAAAAATTTGCTCATGTAATTTGAGTGTTCTTGTGAAAAATTTTGTGTTTTAAACTAAGTTGTCTGCATTTGAATGCAAGAACGTGGAGTGAAGAAAAAAAAATTGCTGATTAGTTACAATTCAAACAACTAATCCAATGGTGTACCGACTTTTGGTATGTTATTTTCTTCAACTATGGCCTAAAATTAGAATGGAGTGTAATTTCTGTAAGAAAATTAGGCAACCTAGCAAGGGAAGCAAAAATCCATGCTACCCATGTGATTCCTGCAGGAGTCTAATTTGTTTAGATTGTACAAATCTGTCAGCCTCAGAAATAAGGTGCCTGCCTATTGTAGGACGACTATTAAAATTTTTGTGTATCAAATGTCGAAGTTATGATTTATTTGATATTCTAAATAACCATATCGAAAATAAGGACCAAATAATAAAGGACAAAGAAGATATCATCGAACTATTGAAAGCTATAATTAATGATTATAAAAAATCCCCTATTTAACAACCCACTTCTTATGCCTAAGTAATAAAGAGTTCTGTGCAAACACATCAAATAAACTATCCACAAATTATAATTGAACCAAGAGTACCTCAAAATTACCAAAAAACCAAGGATGATGTTGAAAAAAATGGTATAGCAATATCCTATGCAGATGACACCGTATTAATATTTAAAGGTAAAACCTGGGAGGCTGTAAAATCAAAAGTGGCCAAAAGGATAAGAATTATGCAAGACTGGTTGGATTATAATAAACTATCTTTAAATATATCGAAAATAGTATATATGGCATTCTCACTCACGGATGCTAACAGGCCTAACTTCAAACAGATTTGTATTGAAGAATCCAAGTTCATCATCAAAGAAGTGGAAAATGCCAAATATTTGGGAATAATAGTTGACAAAAATCTTAAATGGACTGATCATGTTCAGTACTTAAAAAACAAAATAAGAAAACTTATATATAAATTTTATTTAATTCGTAACATCGATGGTCTAATTCTAATACCCCGTAACTGTATAAATTGATATTTTACAGGAGAATCTTTTTTTAGTTTATAAGTGCTAAATATGATTCAAAAGGTTACAATTTTTTTTTCATTTTACAATTTGGCTACTAAAGGATAAAATAAAAGCCATTTTTTTCAAAATTTGTTTTTTACTGAATTAAGTAAGATACGGTTTATTAGAACATAAAAAAAATAAAAAATTTACGATACAGGATATTATAATAGGTAACACTTAACACAAAAGTAAACAACGTAACTTCACTTAAGCATGATAATAACATTCTTAATGCAGCAAATTGTCATAAAAGCTATGACAGTCTTTCGACAAAACGCATTTGATCTCCTGGAGATGTTTCCACTTTATTTCTTTAATTTTTAGTCTGCGTTGATGAAGCACATTATACTCAATTTCAGGATACTTGAGAGATCGCACTGGAAGAGGCTGAAATTCTTCATTAAAATCTATCTTATATTCGATTAATTTTGTCTCAAAATTATACTTTAAATGTCGCAAGTCAGTCACGGTTGGGTCGTTCACCTTTCTTCCTGGTCTTATTGAATTATAGATCCAATTTTTCTGGTCTGCATAATCCAAAAAAAAGTCATGGTTTACATCTACAACCTCTAATGGAAATGGCTTAGTTCTAGCCTCTTTGGTTAATTTGACATAGTCACTTGGTAACTCAATATTTCGATTTTTTAACTTCCGTTCTATAAGTGAGTGGACGGCGTCACATTCCATCTGAGTGTGACCTTTTTCTAAATATTTTTGTTCAATGAGTACTTTTTTTTTAATTGAATAATTTAGAAGTGCATTCGACAAGATACAATTACGATTTTGATAACAACAGCCATCTGAGTACAAAATTATTGGAATATTCTTAGTGCATTTATCTTTAATAAAATCCAATATAAAATTAGTGAAGGTCGGTGCAGATAAATCGGCTTCTGTTTCGTTAAACCAATAATTTCGGCAAACGTGAGTATTCATATCATAAATGGTGAAATTATGTACAGCTAACTTTGTCTTATAGTATATTTTACTTGCATTGACTACTGGACAAATTTTAACTGCCTGCAAATCCATACAAAAAGTGTATACCTTTTCTTGCTGTGCTAATTCCTTGTCTTTGTCTTTTTCTTGCCTTGCTCGTTCTTTTTTCTCCAAATGTTTTTGATATTCGATTTCACTGATATTTTTGGTTTCAAATCCACAACAGATATCGCACCTATCTTTTTTTGGCTGGTACAAAGCTAAATTCAATTCAGAAAATGTTTGGTCAAAAACAGGGTTGCTTAAAATTAGATTGGAAAACCCGTTCTCGTCGCAATAGTTTTTGTACTCCCTATAAAGTTCTTGCTTTGTTTGAAAAAACTGTTCCAAGTACAATTTAGTGGAATCTTTTCGACAATAATGTGACGGCATTTTAGGCAAACTATCAAAAAACTGCCTTAATATTTTGCGTTTTTCAACGCTCTTTTTTGTATCTTCCCTAGGCCGTTTACTAGTGATGTTAATGCCATGCTCAGTTTTTTTAATCCAGTCGTGAACCATATCCTCTTTTAGACCAATTGTCCCTAGGAACATCTTTTTGCATACCTGTAACTTTGAGTTATCTATTTTTCGTAAATAGTAATGAAAAGTCCCAGTTCGTCGAGAATTTTCCCCTACAGAATTTCGTTTTTTTTTTGTACGTATTCGATACTTGAAGTTATATACACCCTTTTTTCATCCCAATTCATGTTTTTCCAAAACTTCGTAAAAATATTTTTGCGGTCAGACTCTAAAAATGTACCACAATGTCTGTTTTTCATCTTTTTACAAGCATTTGAAGAACATGTTGCAGTCATTTGCCTGGCTGGACGTGGAATTCCTTTGCTAACAACTCCCTCCCTATCTCTTTTATAGCCCTTATATTCTTGACCTTTCATTCGTAGTTTTTTAGTCATGTTCTTTTCCCATACTTCTTTTAAACTCGTTCTATTTCTTTTTTTACTTGATGCTGATGAATATTTGCTAACCACTAAAATGAGAACAAGAAAATAGTGTTTCAAGCTGTTTGTGTCATCACTGATTTCATAGCATATCAGGGAGGCGTCACTTTTGACAGGAAGCACTAATGAACTTACTACTGAAGAAAAAGAATTAGGTGTCGATCTTGGTATTGTTATTGCACTCTGTAAAACTCTTAATGATCCAGTGAACACGGTTGTATCTTTTAATAATTATTTTAGCAGCCTTTCATTGCTCACGTATTTCAAGAATAACTTTGGAGTTTAGAGTTTGGGTACATTTAGTTCAGATATGATTGCTGGTTACCCACTGGAACCTACGTAAAATTATGCAAAAGCGAAAACGGGGTTCCATTGTTTACAAGTCTGATCTAAATAAAGGAATTACTCTTGTAAAATGGCTGCCCTGCTTAGATAAAACGTCTGACATGAGAAAAAGTTTTGAAATATTAATGATTTTGTTTTTATATTGTTCACTATGTAAATATTAGGACGAAACTGAATATAAAAATAAGTGCGTTATTTCTTTATATTGTAGTTAGAACGTTTCTGCATAGAAACAAAACCACTGTAGATGCATGTCTGCATCACAAATATGCCTCTAACTCACAAACTAAAATTTTGTCAGATAGGACGTTTTAACTAAGCAGGTCTTAACGTGAAATTAATTTTAAATTAATTTCAAATCAATTTTTAACAACTTCTCCATAACCCCTCGTAACACAATTTAAACGACAACCGCTTGCTTCCCAAAATTTGCAAAGTACGGTTTGCGTACGTACCTAGTGTTTCTTTCGGCAACTACGCTGAGAAAAAACCAACTGGTGTTGATTCAACCGGCCTTTCGGTTTATCGAGTTCAATGTGGTAGTGTGTGCCGACAAATATTCTACTATGAGTAGATTTCCGTAATTATCTTGTTTTTTGTATGTGCTTATTGTGTGTTAACTTTGGGATAATTGTCAGGTAATGTTTCTTTTAACTTATATTTTAACACTGCTGGATTTGGAAAGCCAATAGATCGGTCATTTGCTTTTTTTTATTGCCATCATGCTGACGAGTGCCGGTTATTGTTACTGTTTATTTTATTTTATATATATTATACCTAACTAATAATATTTTTAAGCTTTCTTTGATATATAATATTATATTCAAGCATTCTTTAATATATGCGCGGGAAGGCAACTAAATATTTGAATTACAAGTCAGTCTGAAAATACAGTTTAAACGGAAATATATGGCTCTTAACTTATTTTGGCCTTATAAATAGTTTATATTTTGTTCAGATAATGTAAAAATTATTGTTATAACTTATTTTGACCTTATAAATATTTATTATTTTGTTCAGATGATGTAACTTTAACATTTGTTCTGATATTTTATATTCTGTTACTGAGGTTCTTTTTATTTCTAAACCTGTAGTGTCTTCAAGCTCCAAGCTTTAAGCTCCAAGCTCCAAGGTTCAAGCTTTAAGCTCTAAGTCCAAGAAACTCTAAGCTTTAAGCTCCAACTCTAATTCCAAGCTTTAAGCTCCAAGAAATTTTAAACTCCAAGCTTTAAGTTCCAAGTCTGAGTTACGTAGTTCCTCCAAGAAGCTTAGAGTTACGTAGTTTCTCCAAGTTCCGAGTTCCAAGTGCGAGCTCCGAGCTCCAAGTCTAAGTTCCAAGTTCCAGGTTATGTATCTTCTCCAAATAAGCTCCAAGTTTTTAAGTAAAGACAGATTGTCCACGGCATACGACAGGGAAGTACTGCTTTTAGAATGCCACATGGCCGAGACAATTAAATACCTATTGTACATATTAAATATCTATTCAACTAAATAATATTTTTTAACAGTTAATTTTAATTCATTTTTCAAATTTAATTATTAATTATTAATATATTGTATAAATTCGTTCTTTTTACTTTTTTTTATTAAATGTATTAAATTTTCTTATTTTATTTTATTTGCCAGAACTCATAACAGATAACTTTAAGTACCAGAGACTGACTCAATTAAACAGGGCATAAAGGATCAGATAAGTTTTCCAAGTTACTCAAAAACTTGATGGCGCTCAAAATTTTTGTCGTAATCGCATTATAGTATCTTTCGTTTTATCTTAAAGTAGACTTTGGACCGCGAACAGGTCAAGCTACTCTGATTTTATTTATCCTGGTCAATTTATGAATTCTCGCAGTATCAGCAAGTTGAGCTAAATTACCTCTTAAATAACAATTTACATCATAGAAATCAAAAAGAAGGTAACACAGGGCAGAAATGTGTTCTTATTGGACGTACTTATTGTGGAATTGAACCAATAAATCCAATCAAAAGATACGACAAAGTTAGTAAACGGAAAATTGACGTTACTTGTCCTTTCATCATAAAGCAATATAATAAACACATAAGAGGTATAGACAGGACCAATCCCTCTTTTAGGACTATACCGTAGTCCAAGTAAAACCCGAAGGTGGTACTATGCTCTAATTTATAAACAAGATTGTGCGCTATTGAAAACAAAACCACTACCTTTAAAAAATTTCGATTTGAAATAACTGAATCTCTACACAAAACAGGAAAACCTAGAAAAGCGGGAGAACCATCGATGGACAAAAAAAAATTGTCCACTATACCAAGAGCAGGTCAAACAACGCTACTAGAAAGGACAGTGAAGGCATTTATGGAGAATAAGGGAGATGTGGCTTTTTCAAAACTGTTTACACGACAGTTCATTGTCAGTAATGTGAAATGACATTAAACAAGAATTGTTTTTATAACTTTTGTAATTTATAACAATTTTTGATGATTTTTGCTTAGATAATTGAGAACAAATTAAACTTCAGTGATGTGCATTTTAGGAGTTTTTCTGCAATAAATTGCTACAAAAAATTACTTTTGTTAACTAGTGTTTCCTCCATTTGACACGTTCAAAAAATTAGAACTCAAATAAGCAATGGTGCCTCAAAGCAACATTCTAAGTTTACCACTTAACAACAATGTTGGCTAGAAGCAACCTAATCAAAATTTACTTTAAAGATAAAAAATTAATATTGGGACAATATAGATATTATATAATTTGGGGCTTAAAAGTCATCCACACAAATTTTTAGAATTGTATTAAAATTATTTAGGTGTGTGACACTTACAGGGTTAAGAATTTATATACTTTGTTTTCGGATCAATAACTGACAGTATTCCAGAAGTTTAAATCCGTTCATTTCTAAAAGTGTCGTAAGTCAATCGTTAGGCTGTTTTATTTCCCGACCCTCTTAACTCTTTTTTCCGCAGAGATATTTTATTTCGTGGTTTATTAATAAATATTTAATGCAAACTAATTTAATTTGAAGTTTCAGCTCTTTATGTTCTAATAATCCAGTTTACAAGACTATTATACCAAAAGATTAATTCGAATAATTTCGGAAAAGACAATAACTAAAGGGCATTCAAAACGAATCAAAGTAACGCGATGTTCCTATGAAAACACATTCACAATAATCCCAAGTAATTCCCCGAAGTTGTTTTCTCGAATCGGAAACTTCCACGTACAACTCCAATCAAACAAAAAAGACAATTAGAACTCTCGGCGCAAAACTTTACTAATTATACTAAATTACACTGTTTTGATTTACGTTACGCATCAGAATCCCATTGTGGAATTTCTTGAACGTCGTTCGAATATACATTTCGGCGGATTTCGACGGATTAATTGTGACAATAACAGTTGCCGGGAGAATGTACTGTTTCGATTAAAATGGGAATCGAGTTTTGTTATTATTAATAAAGTTTGAATCGCTTCAGTATTAACAAGGGATTATTTTACATTTACTGGTACGCTCCGTTTCAGTCACATACTTAAAGTACAAGGTCTGGCGTTAAAGTTCTACACCCATTAGTTATTTTGATTTAACAGCAAACATGACGGCCGCTCCTCCGCCAAAAATCAATTTTACATTTGAGGCAGTTAAAAAAAATTGTAAAAAAATGGTTCAGGCCAATCGTTCTAAAAATGAACCAAGAATGACGCTAACTCGCGAAAAACTTATATTTTTAAATAAAAACAAAAATTCCAACTTTTTAACAAATTTAATTTTTTTGCTCTTTAGTGTCATTCTATAACAAATATCTTAACTATTTTCTAAATAAATTTTTTTTTAAGATTAACCAATTTTAAACAGGACGAAAGATTAACATAGTTTTTATTCCGATACTAATTCTATTAAAACAATGATACCAGTGAATATTCACTGGCAACGGCGCTAGTCTATGAAGCCCGTGGTTAAAAGGGTAGTTGCTGTTTAGTTAAATTTGTTAATTCCTGTGTCGAAAAATAGGTAGTTATTTTTGAAGAGGTGCGAAATTATTGTGATCGTCTTAGTTTGTAGTTGAGGCGTGTTAGGTTTCTGTTTAATTTAGTTTTTAGTTAATTTATGAAATGAAAAATTCTGGAAGGCAAAAATGCTACCACAGCTG